AAACATCTTTGTAATCACAATTAAACTCATTTAACTCTTTCTGAATCCTCTGCACTATTCTCAGATTGGCATCCAAACACTCTGAAATGTTTGTATTGGAACTTCCAGCAGTATAGCATGCTGTTTCTCCACACACACACACACACTTTATATATATATATATATATATATATATATATATATATATATATATATATATACACACACACACACACACACACACACACACTCAACTGCTGTAAAAAAAAAAAAAAAAAAAAAAGAGCCAAATAGTAACCTTTGCAAATAAAAAATATATTAAAACAAATTGGTATCTGGGGAAAAAAATTGGAAAAGTTAGAAAAGACTAAAAACATCCAAGTAGGCCAAAAAGAAAAATCGTCCAATGTCGTAACTTCTAGTCCAAAGAAGAAAAAACAATTGAGTAAAAAAAAAAAGGAAAAAAATAAAGTGCTCACTACACTAAGTAGAGCTGAGTATAAAAGCCAGCTTACTCTGAAGATCCATTTAGGTGAAACTGAAGAAGGTAGTTTCTGATTCACTAGGATGGATAGATATATATATATACACACACACACACACACACACAAAGAGGGTGCGATTGATAAATTGTCTTATAAATTCTACAGAAATGAAAATAACAAGGCATTGCATTTTAACAAATACATTTACAAAAATTGCACAAAAATATCTTGAAATACTAAAGAGTGAATTTATTCAATAAAATCGCATTTGGCTTCAACCACAGCCTACAGACTACTTCAGAATCTCTTGTAAATCATCTCTACAGTTTCCTTGTTTAAGTTGGTGAATGCTGCCATAATCCTTGCCCTCAGTTCATCTTTGTGATGTGTGGTTTTTGTTTTTTTCCAGAGCAAGATGTATAATAGTTAAAGTCATGACAAAAAAAGCAACTTCTCACTTAATGTCTTGCATGTTTAATGATGAGCAACCGTATAATATCATACAATAAAAAAAAAATAATCCAATCGCAGTGAAAAATAAGTAAAAATTTGTTTGTACTGTATTTACAGTATGCAAAAAGAAGTATCCAGAGCTTTTTTTTTTCCTACATACAACATATGAAAGCACATACAACATATATTTTGGGCCGTGAATGATTATGCTAGCATGAAGGTACAAGTCATTGTGATTAGAGTTTGAGCATACTAACCATCTTCAGACTGTTGATCTTGCTAAATAACACTATTTCCAGAAGCAGTACCTAAGGTCCACTGTGTGTGTTGAACAAACACAAAATGTGCCTGAGCAGGCGTCTGCAATGGGGATTAGCTAGGCGCCCTAAGAGACTGGCATCCTTGAACACGAGTGACTGCACCATTTACATACACGCATGTTACTCGCCGTTTCCTTTGTCACTCATGTGTGTCAAATTCTCCAAGCCCTCTTTTCTCATTGAGCCTCCAAAATTACAACTGATTCTTTTTTATTCTAAATATAAGTGTTAGAAGCTTTAAAACTGTCCAAAGAGAGACTGTGTTCTAACTCTTTTGGGGTTTAAAAACTTCCAAATCTTTTCAGGTCTTAAAAAAAAATTGGCAAGAAGTAAACATCAAAATAAAACAAATCTTTAGACTACAAGGAGTGGATGGATTTGATAGCTGATTTTAAAAATTTCCTCCTTTGGTTTGGGGTGGGGGGCAGAAGAAAATTATTACCTAAAGGGCGTTTAGGCAGACAAGGGAGAGGGAGAGAGAGAGAGAACAAAAACGAAACAGAACAAGTTCAAAGGAGTGTATGACATTTCCTGCTTTACTTTGTCAGTATACAAAAGGCTATTGTTTATTGACCCCCCCCACTCCCCCCCTCTCTTTCGCTTACGCACAAACTTTTTTTTTTTATTCATTCAATTTGTCTCTCAATAATTTGTCATTTGTTTGTGAGTGTTTATATCTTGTTTCTACCTACAAGATTTTTTTACACTTATTTTGAATCAATTTTCACAAGTAGCATTACTTAACACTTGTATATTTCAACACATGCATACAGAACATCAGATATTAAGTAACATGCACATTCCTATATATATATATATATATAAACCATATATATAAGTGAACATTGAAGTCAACACTTAGAGGCGACAGGCTGTTTCATGCTAGACGTAATCGTCAGAGCACTCGTGGCCTAATGATTGTGTCTAGCATGAAACAGCCTGTCACCTCTTAAGTGTTGACACTTCAATGTTCACTTTTATATTTACATACGCTCTCTCTGATATTGAGCACTTTATCCCATAAATATAACACACCTTAAGAGTATATTTTTCATATATATATATATATATATATATATATATATATATATTACAGTAATGGATAACGGCTCAGATTGAGGAATCGGAGAGCCAAATTCAAATTTCAGTCGAATCCATTTTACTCACTTACTTGAAAAGTATGAATCCTCTTTTCTCCCCAGCTATAGGTAAATAGTAGGACAGACTGAGTTCTATAGCCTTGGATGGCAACTGGTCTAGGAGAAGGACAACTCTGAATTTAAAATCTGAAGAGGGTTGTTTGGGGACCTTGTGGCACGTAGTGCACCAAGTCTCTGTATTCGGCTCTTCAAAAAGTGTGGTTGGTTCTGCACGAAGCTTTTGCCACTATAATTAAATCATGTGTGCTGTTGTCTAGCTGTTGGTTTCTAGGAACTGAGCTGCCTGACCCTCATACGTCATAAAAGGGTCCCCAGTTGGCATGGATCAACAGCTTGCATTGATCAATGACAGGAGAGTCCACAACAATTATTTATTTTTATATATATATATATATATATATATATATATATAATAAAGAGAGAGAAATCCCTCGGGTCATTTGTACATTGATTTTTTTATTTTTTTTTATAGTTACCAATTTTCAATTATTATGGTTAGGCTGAAGAATGGTTTACTGCACTAATCAAGTATTATGTACGCATTAATGGAATGTGCATTAATCGAGAGATGCCTGTACTAGAACAATTGTTTCCAACATGTAAATAAAACCAATTTAATTTTCCCAACATATAAATAAAAATCTATTAAGTTGCATATATACATATATACTCACTTTCACAGATTAAAAAGCCTGTGTGAGAGAGAGAGAGTATAAAGTTTGAGTCAGAATCTGATAGAATAATAAATACATAAGACAGTCTTAAAAACCTATTTTGGCATGAATTGGTGAGTTTTCATGGAAATCAGTTTCTTTTTTGTCTTGCTAATGTAGAATTTCCTAACCAAAAATGGTTCAAGACACTTATGAAGACACTTGTTGAGGAAATGTTAGAAAATTACCAATAAATTTTAAATTTACTATAGTTACCAGTTCTATTTTATGATAATGTTATGTATGGACATCCATAGTTACAAAAAATTGGCATATTTATACACATATAAAAAAAATCCAAAATTATTTTTAAAATACTGAAGGTCACTGAATTGTAGTAAGCTTTTCCATTTATAATTAGTCAGCATAGTTTTTGCTTCATCATACATCAAAAAAAATTTTTTTCTTAAGACAATAGTGACTACAATATAGCTTCTCATAAAAGCAATTAAAAGCTTTTCTAATTTAATGTCTTAGATTTATTGCATTTTTTTATTTTAACATTCAGGGCAATTTTTTATAACTGGGGTCCTGTTTGACCCAAAAAATTTGATTATTTATATTCTCCTAGGACTTCTAACTAAAACTAATAAACATTAAGCTCTACAGAAATGAATTTTTCAATTTTATAAAATTGAATAATTGAGGATAACAAATGTAAAAAATATATATATATATATATATATATATATATATATATATATATATATATATATATATTTACCAAACGTTTTAAAAAAGAAATATTTCAAAAGTAATTTAATTCATTTGTGGATAAGTTCTGAAAGTTTAATTAAAATCTGACATCTGACTTTTGCAAGAATTTCCAAATCAATGTGTGTTCTTCACTGTAAAAAAAAATGCTACAATTTCCCATACTAATTCATGTACACCGGTTGATGCAAGAAAAACAAAATTTTTAACCAAAATTTCTAAGGTTCTAAAAAGGATTAAAAATAATTTAATAATCTTTTGGTCTTTACTCTTAACACAAAAATTTGGCCAATAAAACTTTGGTTTTATTAAGTTTCAGGCATCTTTTCATCATGTATACTCACTTTTAGCAAATCTTTGGAGGTACCAATAATTTAGTACGAATTGAAACATTCTAGACATATAAAGTTAGTTCAAGTAAAAGTAATCAACCATTTTACTTTTATATACTTAACATATTGTCTGACTAATGTAGATTTTCTTGAAATGAAATTCTTTTTTCTCAGACAATTTCTAAAATATAGAATGTTATCATAGGATGCTGAAAACCATTTTCTAAAATTTGACCTAATGAACTCTTTGGGGTCAGATTTTTTCTGTGTGCTGGTGGTGGGGTTCTTGCATGTGTGTGCATTCCTTCCCTCCCCTCCCCTATCTTTTGATCATCCCTTTCTATTGTTTGGATTTCTGTGTGTATATACAATAAAAACACACACACACACACACACACACATATTGATGCACCACATACACTTTTGTACCTTTACACACACACACACACACACACACACACACACACACACACACACACACACACACACACTTTTCTGACCACTCCTTCCATCTTATATTTTTACGGCCTTTTTTTAATTATTTACCTTCTCTCACTCCTCCTTCTCCTCCCCCCTCTCTCTCTCTGTCTGTCTTTCCCTTTTGCCCTTCCTGAAACTGAGATGAATAGCCTTCCTGGTCAGTTCACTTCAATTCTTCCCACTTGACGTCTTGTTGGGATTTTCTTCTTGAAAATGTTGGTAGACTGACTCACTTTTCTATTTATACACTTCATAATTTTCAATCCTACCCCAGCTAAGGATTATGGGACAGTTACTCAGTCAGCAAGAGATTTAAGTTTTCCAGTCACCAGTAACGACTGGGATTACCACTACTACAATTACAATGTCAACCCTTACATATGATGATCTTTACCATCCTGGCAAGGTAAACGTTTTAAATAGTTTCTTATTTTTAGACTTTAGTTTCAGCCTCCTTTTTTTTATCTAAAAATAATTTCCATAAACAAAGCATACTCTCTCTCTCTCTCTCTCTCTCTCTCTCTATGCTATTCTCCTTTTTCGCTTTCTTTTTTTTTTTTTTTCTCAGTACTTTTCTGTTCACGTGTTTAAAAGAAAAAATACCTTTTTCTTACTTTTTTTTTTTACTCAACCAAAAACAAGTCATTACTTAGACAGCATGGCCCATACTAACCAAAATTTTTATGACAATTCACTGATTCTAGTTTCCTCTTGCATGTGACTTATTGGCAAGGCTACAGGTCTGTTGTTCTTTATCAAGTGAAAGTTTGGTGGATTGGTTGGAACGAGTTACATTTCCACAAATTCATCAAAGCAGAGGAAAAATAGTCTCAATAAGATAAAACTAATATGCTTGTTTAAAAAAAAAAATCTTTGTATTAAATGGTATAACTAAAGATCTTAACGTTACTTTGTTATGATAGCAACAATAATAATAGTTAATGATCTTTTTTTTCATCATTATTCTATGAGTTATTTAAACCAGTATCGTTATGGTGATTCCTCTTGTGCATTGTTTTTATAAGAACTGTGGTAAAATAATAAGAATGAGGATACTTGTCTATTACTGATGACCCATTTTTTTGTAAGCATAAGTGAATTAATCTCTCAGTAGCTATTCTAATTTTTTGTTCCTGCAGATTCTCTGACCATTAAGTTTGTTGAATAATCTCCCAAGAAAATTGATTGGATTTGTTTTATAACAATAGGAAGTGTGACCAGAAATAAGGGTTGGGTGTCAGCTGTTTAAATTCACTGTAAATCTCCAACTCTGCAAAAGCCCAAACAAATATGCTTATACAACGTTATTTTTTTTATTTATTTTTTATATATTTACATAGTATGAGTATATTTTCTTTGGATTTTCTTATTCGGGGGGAGGCAATTTAAAATGAATGTATGTCTTGTAATCTACGAGACCCCCCCCCCACCCCAATCTATGATAAAAGGTGAGGGGCACTCTACTATATCTCGATTTTCATAAGGTAGTATACATATAAAATAAAAATTCTATTGTAACTTATGTACAATAATGAATCATATTCAATATAGATGAACGACTCAACTAGAAAAATTGAAAATAAATATGATGTATCTAAATATAAATTAGAGACACGTCATAATAGATCCTTCCATCTTAAATAAATCAACAATGTTTTGCTGCAATTTTTAACATTAACTTGAAATTTTTCTTGTTAAAAAGTTGAATAATTTTAACATATTCAACATTATGGATAAAAAAAATAGTAAATTTTATAGAGTGTTCTTTTTTCTTCTTCTTCTCTCTCTCTCTCTCTCTCTCTCTCTCGACTTAGCATGAGCAAAACAAATTCATGGATTTGGACAAGAAAAAAAAGACCTCAAAATTACATCAAAATTTACAAAAAAATTTTCATCCTTTTAATAGTCAGTTGGGCTTAGTTTTAATTTGTAACATATATAGATGTAGGTAGAAAAAAAAGCAAAATTTGGTAAGATAGCAAGGGTCACAAAGCACTGCTCAGAATCCCAAATTATGCTTGCCCAAAGTCAGGAGATTAGGATGTTTGTGGGGTAATACGCACATGCTCTGAATGAACATAACAAATTGAACTCCCTGTTAACTTTTATAAAATTTAATAAAAAAAAAGTGATATTCATCTTTTGTAATATTTAATCTATATGAAAAGAAATTTTGAACAAAAAAAAAAATTCTTTCTGGTCACAGTGCTTATTGTATAAAAGTGATTTATAGGTCCAAAATTATCCACAATTTTGCCATAACATATCTTTAGATAAGTGTAGATAATTTTTGATTTTCCCTCATATTTACAATATTTAGTAGTTTTGTTTTCATATGCAATATTCATATGAGAAACATTTGCTGTAAATAAAATCTGTTTATGTTATTACCTCTGTGGGGAAACTACTTTAAAGCAGAAAACCTGGAAGACGGGCATGGAGAACAAGAGTCTCCGTGTCAACATGAAAAAGACCAAGTTTATTATTTCCGATGTTGACCTGGGAATCTGGTGCATTTCCCTGTGCTGTTTGCTGCAGTGGAGTGGGTAAGAATTTTGATCATGTTCTCCAAATACAGCACCTGGGTGCACAAGAAATACAATGGCATCACCAGTAGGCTAAGAGAACTAACAGGTGACATCTTCCCTAGATGCCATGGCGAAGCACGCCCTATTGATGGCAGGCCCACTACCCAAGTCACTTTGGAATGTTCAAAAAATGGATATTGAGCCCTGTTTCTGTTATCTTGGGAGATATGCTCTGCGCAGGTGAAGGTTGTGGCTTTGGAGAAATTCAAAAAGCTCCTACTCATTTTCACATTCAAACATGCATTGTTGAAAACTAAAGGCAAATTGTTCTCTGTGTGCGTCTGATCTGAACTGCTCCATGGCAGTTAGACTGGGGGACCAAGTGCATTGGTCTTGTGGCAGTTCTGCCACAACAACCACTCAATTATTCACTGGAACTGCAGCACCATGCCTCAGTGTGAAACCCCCTCTTCCAAGTTGTTAACAAAGCTCAGTATTGAGGATATAACATCAGCGTTGTGCACCCATCGTCTTGGGTGGTTTGGTCACATCCAACAAGCTTCATCATGCATTAGGACTGCCTTGGAGGATAGGGTTTCTGGTCACACAGGTTGAGGTAGATCTAGGAAGACATGGAAGGACTGCATTGGGAGGGATGTGCAGGAGTGTGGCCTTGCCCACATTAGCCTGCTTGACAGGGATGATTGGGAAGGAGGAGTGAGAGCTAGCCAACTGTTGCCTACCCCCAGTCACTGGGAAACCCGCAGTAGCTTTTCACAACTTTTATTAAAGATTTTCACCTATTGAAAATTCATTCATTTTTCAGTCACTAATTTGAGAATATTAAAAAAAAAAAAAGTTTTGGTGAAGTCCAAATTCTTAACAGATTTACTCTGGGTTAAGCTTAAGGAGAAACAATGATGTGAGGTGGTTTAATTTTTAACAGTAAATGAAATCACTAAGTTTAAATTCAAGCCTTCTCTTGGGTATGATGATAAACTACATACGGCAGCAAGGAGGTTTTGAGGAGCATGGAACCACCTCTTAATTGCTGTTGTTCCCAGGTCCACCCTAACCCTGTTAGGCTCCCAAATATAGGCAAACACTTAACCTCTAAATTGGGGTCAAAACACTATGAAAGTGCAAAAATACATTTTAATAGTAAAAAATTACCAGCAATGCATAAAAAAATAATACCAGCAATACATTTTTTTAAAAACAGAAAATATTTCTAGCAATAGATTTTTTTGTTAAAGAATAAAATTTACCAGCAATACTTATTGAAAAAAAAATATTATCAACAATACATTTTGGTAAAAGAAATTATTTAATGCTCCCAAGAAAATAAAATTTCAGCATTAAATGACTCATAAAGAGTTGATATACCACTAAAAAAAAATGGACAACATAAATTCAAGCTGAAATAGTTTACTTTACACTAATGCCCTTGGAAAAGTCATGAATTCTTCTCTTTAGCTTTGGACGGTAACCAGTAATGAAGGATAACTCTGGATTTAAAATTTAAGAAGACAATGTGATCTTAAAAGGGAGCTATGGAAGGCCATAAGTGCCTATATTCTGAATGGACATTTAACTTAAGGAGGCAGATGAAATGAGTCAGAATAATAAAGAAAAACTGTAGAATAATAGGAATGATTGGATAACCAAGTATAGACATATGCAGGTGTCCATTAATTAGGAGGAAATAGATAATGAACTTGCAGTCCCCATAGACATGGTAGCATATACAAAGCTCAGTGGGTGGTCATGTAATTAACATGGCACTTGTGGGAGAAGACAGCCCCATGAACACAGGAATTCAAAACCGGACATAATTTATCGGGTAGTGGGGGATATGCCTGCACCTTAAGAGTAAGATTCAACAACATTCTAGAACACCCAAGGAAGGGGCAAAGGGTGCACAGCTGAAATGTGAAAAGAAATTCAAGACGAGGAATTTAAGAGTGATTTCTTTGTGAGGAAATGGGTTTTTGTTTGCAAAACTGATTGAAAAATATTTGTCTCTACAAAAAACAAAAAATCAGTTTGAAAAGGAGAAAGGTTACAAAAATGTTTTCGGTCAGAGCCTAAAATTTGACCATTTTACCTGAAAAACAAAGAAAAACCTTTTAAAAAATGGATTGCTACCCATATATGATCCCCAGCCTCACCCCAAACCCTACTGCTGGTGGGGTATCCTGATTGAGTTTTTCAAGTGTTCATATTACATATCAATGTAAAGAAAATTTAATTCTGATTAATACAAAGACTAGGGTCTTAAAATGAATGCTTTTTGAGCGATTAATCATCTTATAAAGTATTAAGTTTCCTTTACATTGTTATATCATATGAATGCTTTTGAAAAAAAAAAAATTTCTTTTTCAACCGGGGGCCCCACACTGACTATAAGTGTGTCCTCAAAAAGGCAAAGTCACTATTTGCTGATAGAGTAAGACACCCTGTAGCCTCTTGCAAATTTGGTTCTCAAGATTACTGGCGGTATGGCTCTATAAGATTGCGTTGAACAAGAGTAACTTCTCAGTCCCTCCTCTCTTCAATCAGTTTGAAGTCTTGTCATCCGCCATAAACTTGTAAAACCTGGGATGACCCATGCCTACATGAAAATCTACACATTAAGTTTCTAAATAATGAAAATTTATTAAATCATAGACATGAGTTAACAGTTTTCTGCTGACATCAACAAATTTTCGCATTAAATAACATTAAAAAATTAAATTTCATAGTCTAATAAAAGGTTTAAAAGCTTAACCCAATCATAAGATAGAAAAACCCTTTATGAAGTTGTCAAAAATCAAATTATAGTTCAGTGCAACGTGTTTAAGTACGAAACAGCCCTTTAGAAAAAAAAATAAAAGGA